TAAATTGCTTACTATATGGCTCCAAATGAGATAATTTGGTGTTAATAAATACTTGCAAATCTTAGATTTCCTCAGCAAAAACCAACCATTTTATGTTCTAATTTTTAAAGTGCAATTATATTAGCAATTGATCCCAAATTTCATTCATGAACCAACTATGCTGATATTAAATATCACATACTTGAAGAATAAGTCAAAAATGGTGTTTTATAGATAAACTATAATTCTACAAACATCAATGTAGAAGATAGTTTTACAAATCTTTAACTAGTGAAAAGTTCAAAAAACTGCATGCTTTCCTTACTATATATTCTAGCTAATACTTCACTTCTTCGTTGAAATGGGAGTATTGCTACATGTAATATCAATGGAGAAGTTATTCTTTAAAGGGAATTTAGTGGGAGTGTTACTTGTAAGAAAGAATAACTACTTCCTAGTATATTATTAATTTCTTTGTAATAAAGTCGTATGAATTATACCCAATGTAATGGTGTAGTATATTATTAATTTCTTTGTAATAAAGTCGTATGAATTATACCCAATGTAATGGTGTAGAGTGCTGTGAGACAAAAAAACCATTAGAGGGAGATTCTGGATTAGCATGCTCATTGAGAGATGGTCATGTGGAGGCACGGCTTCAGAAACAACTCGAAGTCCTTCGCTCAAGAGCATCTTGATCCAATTCTCAATGTATCCGAGTGTTCAGAAAATTCGGCTTACGTTGGAATGACACCTGCTGTTCAAGCAACCAACCATTTTGTAATGAACTCGCACAACAAAACAAAAGTCAAAAACAAAAAATAGTGTAGGAAAGAAGACGTCGATCAAAAATTATGATACGGACAAGGTTTTACTTTTCTTGACGGGATCTTTTGACGTAATTGCGAATCTAGAAAGCTTCGGCAGATTTCCACCACAATATGCGTCGTAGGTGGGACGCGTTAACGAAAGCTATGTTGCATTCAAACGACCTGCAGCACTGCTCCACATGCATTTCATTACAAGTGGGGAATCTAAGAATATGTAGAACATTATGAGCCACTTGCCTGTTGTCTACAGAATTACAATCACCAGTTGGGAATAGCACCCAGCTTTGAGTAACTTAAGCGGACTTATGCAACTTGCAGTAACTAAGAATGGATTCCACAATGAAATGACTCGCAATCGAAGTCACGTTTTCGGGATAACTGCCTCTGACTGAATAGCTTGTTGCATTGACATCCACAAGATCCATTTACTTAACACCTTTCTACTGTTCGGCTAACTTATGGAGTTCGTTACCTTACCTTTGAGATGGAAGTGGTTCGTCTCAGAGTGACGCTTCTGCTAAAACCCCCTCAACCTCGAAAGTATATTGCCGTTGCCAGAGCTAGAGAAAATTATCCCCGCATGGATCGACCAACTAAATTGTGGCATTGTTTGAGAAGTGTCCCGCATTTTCGACTAGTACTTGTCCAAGTTCAGCACCCAGATCCGGTTTGTCGCGTTCTTCCGGGGGTCAAATGCAATTGATACCTGTAACCGCCTCATTAAAGGTAGCCACGGAGAAATAGAAATCATTCTCAATTAATTTATTCTGGAGCCGTCCAGGACGAAGGTTAGGGAACACAGCAGATGTAATCGATCCCTTTCTAAGAAGGCACATTTACGTCACAAACAGTATGTCGCACATATGGTAATGATAGAAATCTCGCAGTTGTCTTTTTTGTGACATAATTTGTAATAAGCGGTGCCTCGCATGCAGCACTTGCGATTTAGTCTCTGCAACCTTTTTGTTTCGGGGAGCTTGGAAAATGTTGATTAGAATGCGAAGAAGTCTAATTGGTCAAGGACATGAACCATACTGCATCTTACCAACATTTTATTACATTATTAGCTTTGCAGCTTCGGATCTTTATGATCGCACATTGACTTATGATACCACATGAACTTAATATACTGTCGATTTATTTCTAGACAAGTACAGTAACCTCGAAGTTGGAAAAAATTGATTGGAAGGCGGACCTATCCTCGAGCCAAATCCAATCCATGGTCCTAACGCTCTTCATATATCTGCACTGTCCACATGCTATAAATGTGGCTCGCAAGGATGTTTCTGACACTCTGATCAATTTGGTAACCGCTGCAATGTCACCGACGTTACCATGACCTCAAATACCTCATCTTTACGTAATTACCTCGTCAAATGGCTTGCGGAGGAGAAGCACAGGACAGTCTTACGGTGATACACAAGGGGGATGGTGGGAAATCCAGATCGAATTTGAGAATGTTACCGGGCCTCCTTGCCAGACTTGGCATCTCCGCCCGCCACCTCAACCTCAAGTGGCCAAGTGGGTCAGGTGGGTCGTTTAAGTTATAAGCCGCTTTGACTCCGTTCCCAATCACTTGCTTCCATCCCCTGATTAAGTAGATCTTGTCGGCACGGGACAGTATTTTTGCGACTTATTCTTCATGCATATTGCATTTTCGACGTCGTGTTAAGTGTGATTCCTTAGCAGCCATAGTTTGGTATGAAGCTCTCTCTGAACATCAGATATCGGTCGGTAGAGTTGAGGTTTGTTCACATGACCTTAGCTCTGTTTTCCGAGCGCTTCGTGCCAAGCTGTGTGCATCTAAGGGAATCTCACTTCTGAACAGAAAGGTTGCCCAAGAGTCGGAGCAAGACACTGCACCGCAGATCCGGAATATCGGTATTGTGGTCTCGGTAGTTTGTGTTGATCTGGTTTAGCGGATCAACGTCATTTGCTTCATAAGTTTTTCTGTGCTCAACCATGTACTACGATGCGATTTTGAGAGCCTGGCCTGCGCACAGGCACACTGGATTTTTCAGTCTTCTCTTCTACACGGGTCATGTCTTCACCTGATACCAACTTGTAGACCGAGGACGAAATCCTAAAACTTGTCATTTGCAAATCGTGGCTGTTCCTATGATAGCAGATCTCAGAAAACCTGCTTGAATTGTATGTCTGTGTGCTCTAGAATTGAAGGAAATAAAGTTTGCCAGTCGATGGAAAAGATGTAACGGTGCTCTGAACAAGAAAAGTTTTTGAATATGAGATAGTAGTAATACTAGGCGGTCATATCCTAGTTTCAACACCAGCCGGTAAGATTATTCATCAGTTGATTTTCCCTTATTTCCTTTACGTGTGCTCCTTGCTTACAGTGCGTTCTTTGAATCTTCTCGTAATGTCTCTGTTCTAAACAGAGGATGTTTTCGAATTTATGTAATATATCGTTCTACCTATGTGGGTTAGAAAGTGTAATTTCAGTGCAAACTACGAATTGTAGCCACCTCGAATGAAGACATATTTGACCCTAATTAAGAACTCAAGGGTGCTTGCTTTTGGCAGGCTATCTGAAGCAGATTGTTAAGCGCAGCAATATCCTACTCGGGACATGCTAAAGACTGAATTTCTTGGTTTCTGCGAAGTGATCAAGGTAGGATTTGACCCGAAAATTTGGACGTGTGTTTCATGCTTACCTGCATGTTTCTGTTAGACTCTTGCAGATGATAATGAAACTCTAAGATAAGTATTGAAAATGAAACTAGAGGTCATGTGATATACTTTCTATATACATATCATAAAAAGTGCTGGATTGGTTAGATGTCTTTCAGGATTAAGATCTATTAGCACATTCATCAAATACCATGATTGCTCTGCTGGTTCAGAATCTGTTTCTAAATGTTCATTTTCCCAACATTACTCAGGGTTGATTTGGCTGCTGTTTTCAAGCTAAGTGCTCCTTTTTCCTAGCATAAACTCTAGAGAAAGTAATAAGATTCCTAGTGATTTTGGTCTTTGATCACCGCATGGTTTAAAAACACATAAGTGCATATTTACTGTAATTCCAACTTTTTAGTGGCTTGAAAAATATTTAAAACAACTGTTCAAAATTTATAATCCATAGCAATCGTACGTTTCAAATGATCCCAACTCTTACCGACCTTTGCAACGAAATTGTTACAATTGCCAACATAACGAATCCGGGACTTTTATGTAAGTTTTGTCACGCAGCATGAACGTCTGTGATAAACATAATGAAATGGAATGTCTCAATCGGACGGTTTGAATAGGGATAGTCTATTTGAGAGGTTTCCAACACAAAAAAAAATTGCAGCCTTGTGGGGTCCATAATAAGGTGTTGAACCCAGCTTAAGATATCAGAGAATCAATTCTAACTGTACTAGTTTCGGCGACTTGAAATGAAAACGTATAAAGAACATTAACATACGGCAAGTATATTGGTATTGCTTCATTTACGAGTATATGTGCACAGGTTATTATATTGTAAGATCTGCGGTGTGAGAGCCATCTGATGACTTAGGTTTTGTTCAAGCCAGTCGAATGTTGAGATCCTCAAAGTCAACAGTCACCGAATAGTACTATAACAATATACCTAACCCTGAATTGTTCAGAGCATCAATTTCTGTCCCGCGTGACTCATGGAGACCCGACTGTGGTGATAGCATTCTTCTACCGTAGTTCACCAGGAGATTGCTTCGTGTTGGAGTAAACGAGATGAGCTTGGCGTCTCGTCTTGCGCCGATACCTTAACGTGGTTCAAGTGAACAGGAAGAGGTTTGCGAGAATGTTGTTCTGAAAGAATTAACCTGGACAGAGTAGCGCAGAATGCAACACTAGGGTTTCGGAGTATCATTCTAACAAATCTCTTCCTGTCTACTTGAAGCCACAATAAGGCTTGGTGCCTGCTATGAGGTAAGTTCTTCCAGTTTTGCACATTCTTAGTAAGGATGTCTAGCACGAATGACATTCGACGCAGATGTTTAATTGGTGAACGAGCAGTGGACAAACAGTGAAGCCTATATGCGCGCGGGGTCTGTGATGATATACGTTTTGAGTTAGGTCTGATCCTTTACTGAGAGATAGTACTAGTCCTCCACCCTCATTCTTTTTATCTGAGAGTTTTCATCCTACCTGACTGCAGTAAGTCGCAGTGTTTTAGTATTTGTAACATGCCATCGCGCGTCACTACTGAAGTCGATTGAACCATGTAGTACTCTACGTTTACTGAAACTTGTTGTAATGTAACAAGGGTAATGTGGTTGAACAGATAACTGTTCTACATATAGCACAACAGTGTATTGACTTCCAATGACCACTGCCATCGCTGCACAATGACTTACTTGGCAAGAATAAAAGTCTTAACTCTCCTTGTACCTTCACTGCAACGGATTAAATACATGCTGGTAGAATTCCTATCATAAACTCAGGGTGTTCACTTCTCGACCTGTTTGCTGAGTTGAGGCAATACAAATTAGTATCTCTAAAACACTAGAGGAAATATATTTGGAAATTATGATTCGAAGAATGACATGAAGACTAGGACTAAATAATAACTAACGAGACATTCATTTCATGACAAACCCCAAATGACATGGAAAAGAAGAGATCGTGTTGTTTTCTACTGCCACTGAAAATCATACCTTCTGAAAAACATACCTTCTTCCTCAGATGCAATGACAGTACGGCTAGTCGTCGTCATCCATGTCAAAGAATATCACAATATTTGTGAGCAATTCCTGCATACAAAAACCTTATGATCTGTGAGTGTAAAAGATGTAGCATTGAGGGAAGAACATTGGTAATATGTAATGTACCGAATATCCTGTTGTGAGTAGCACACGCTGTTTTTAACATCTTGGTTACCAAGATATAATAGAGCTGAGTTCTACATGCTTTCAACTCTGGAAGTTGAACGTCGATATGAACCTAACCTGATTGAATGTTTGTAGGTTGAAGCTGATATGAATCTAAGTGAGCGAATGATATCAAAGAAATAGAGATGAGATCCAAAGTATCGTGCGACAGGTAAACTGCATTTTTCTTAGGCTGAATACACGCTTCTCTTCTACTCTCTAGCAACTGAATAACAACCCCTAATTTTTAACACCTACTCTTTAGAATATCAGAAGTTTTTGCTTTGACTCATTATTTTGCATTTCAGTAGCCATTATTTCACATCTGGTGGAACTGCAGTTTCAGATGCAGTACATTAAACAACCTCTATAACTTAGGAAATTGTTTTGAAACCGATATTTTTCATAGAAAGGTAGTATCTAAACTTATATTACAATAAATACCTACACGCATGTACGAAAATCGAAGGATACTGACAACAGAGTCTAAGAACGTCTCTATCTGATTCTTGAACCCTCAAACTTACAGTAAGTTAATTTGCCTTCGAAGTTTGACAACGGTGTGTGTCCCAATTCTATCTCGCCTATCCGATCTCCACTAGTTCTGCAAGACGCAGAAAAAAGCATCTTATTAGAAGAATTCAAAGAGCATGGACAATAACCGCAATGTGACTGAGAAGTTCTCCAGTAGACCTGAACAAGTCAATACAGGTGAGCTTTTCGGTTTATTCAGCGGTTAGTCAATACTCCTGGACCCATAAACCTGCATCACCGCTAAAATCTCCTATTTAGAGGGGACCTTCTGCATGTACTTGACACTCGTGCACCTTAGATGCCCTCCTACAATGTGAGTCAGTCTGCTGGAACACAAAGTTCGGTTTCCTAGAAAATTGTCTTCACACCGACGACTTAGGAAGTTAGTGCTCTGAGGTAACGATCGATCCAGATCATATTTGATTACTGTGCACCCCAAATGATAAGCTAGATTTTGTTGATACACTTAAGACAAACACGAGATCAAACCGAATCACTAAACTCCAGTTATACTACCGATTTGGGAACGCTGCTGCACAACGCAAGAAACAAGATTGGAAGGACGGATCACTTCAAATCAAGCACTCATCCACTAAAAGTTGTCCCGAGCTAAATTCACCTCAGTCGCTAAGGTGCCAGGACAACAAAAAACTTGTGTATTTCTACAAGGGCATCATTTACGCACTTAATCAGTGAAAATTAAATCGGAAAAGCTAATACCTCACTCCATTGTTGGTAACTGAGAACTGTGTGTAGAAATATATGTAAATAAGAATACGACACAAGCATTCCACCCATGTACTCTCTGCCTGCGAATCCTGATGCATAAACCTGGAATTAAAACCACCCTTAGGTTGCACACAGCTTGGCACGAACCCCCTGTTGTGCAATCCCCAAGTGAAGAGCTAGCACTGGACAAACATTTATAACACTGGATGAATAAAGGTAGTACAACTCTATCGACTAACCACGAAAGAGGACATGAAATTCACAATAAGAGGATTGTGCCAAGCAGTGACATCCAAGGGGTGGAATCAGTGACATTAGCGCGGCGATCCAGCAATAGTCATTTGCTTTGAGAATCTACGGTTCCGGTCGAGTAATATAAGCGGATCGTGCAGATAGGTTTTCTGATCTAAGAGCAGATGTGCAAAACGTTCAAATCCCACGAGACAGTGACATGCAGGACACTGCGCTCGGAATCAACAGCAGCAATCATTTTTTATTCAGTTCTTCTCGAATGGGAAGCTTACAATATATTCTGGTGATCTGAAATTCTTGTCCACAATTGGTCACGAAAGTCGATGAGCCTAAGAATTGAAGAGTCTAGAGTTCAAGGACAAAATCGTCACGGTGTCAGTATCGGGCTGGGTGCTTTGGTCATATATACAGCAGGATTAACGGAAGTCACAGGATATTTTCACAATTCCCAGTCTGCCGGAGGCGAAAACTATCTTAATCAAATAGTTTCATCATCTCTGTCTCGCCATGACACAACCGCTATGCGTCCTAGGAGCAAACCACAGTAACTACTGGGTCGTACACTGATAGTTTCCTTCCTTAATCAACTTTTCTCTTCTAGTGTAGGTTTCTGATGTCCGATGACTCCCTATTAGTCAATGTTGATACTCCTTCGCAAAACCACAGAGGTTTTGCACGTAAGATGATAAAATCCCTCATCCAGTGGCTTGAGACTGGGCAATGTTGCTGCAGTGCCAGTTCGATCAAGGCAACCTCTCACTAAATCGAAACAAAGCAATAGATAATTGATTTGTCAGGTCCCATTGGGGAGCTCCAGGGCAGTTTCCTATGGCCTACCTACCCCAGTTCCTCCACTTTGAAACGTACATCTTTCAGCTGAAAGCCGAGAACAGCGCAATTGTTCAGAAGCCCATCGGACAAATTCTACGGCTCTCGGCTTTAGGTACAGGTCGCGAGGCGCAGAAATCCAAAAGTTTCAGATATTGGTCGACCTGCCCGAAGACTCATGGCCGGACACTAGCACCTAGTCTCAAGCGACGCAGGAAGCCATACCGGGCGTTGGGCCGAAGCAATGGAGCATCGACACCAGATACAAAGAGCCAAAGCGACTCCCCTTGATTTTTGTTGCGTCGAGGACCTGCTGGCACTGCCCTGCCTGATCACCCAATCACTTCGAACCTCTCGTGAGTTGGGTCGCAACACTCCAGTCTTGGGCAGAGAATATACCGAGCTGCTGGGAAAAGGCACCCGACATTTTTAGCACTTGGTTGCGTCATCTTGACGGTGTCGTCACACACCCGCTTTCGGCTTTCGGCTTTCGGGTCCCTTTGCCGTTGTATCGACAGATTCTTCTCTCCACTTTCCCTCCTTGGCTGCGTCATGACATAATCACCGTGACTAATGTCTCGCAATTACGCTCTTGGATCATGTATTTGTGGGCGTGGACCGTCAGAGTAGCGCGTCCGCTTCCGCTGTTCTCTAGCTGCATTGCCCTTGGCACCACCAGATGAATTAAGTTCCCGGTTGTTTGTAGTGACCTACATATATCCCGGTTCCAGGATTATGCCCATACGTCCACAGATATTTGGCAAACTAGAAGTGTTAATCTGCGTGTGACACTCGCATTTATTACAGGAAAAACCACCATCCTGGATCATCGGAACTATGGGTGCTGTGTTAATGTAACGCTGCATTTCATTACTGTGTTCTTTTAGGTGATATTATTAGTGGCTTGTGTTGAAGTTAGAGACTCTTTTTGCCCTATTTTTACGACACTTTCTTGGTGAATTATTTTCTGCAATGTTTTTCCGGATTTTTTTTTCTCTTGATCTCAATAGTATATATATATATATATATGAACATTTGTACATGTATATACATACATTTTGCATATATATATATATATATATATATACAACATATAGATATACACACATATGCACACACACATATATATGTATATATACGTGTATATATATATATATATATATATGTAAGAGTTGGAACAGTTTCAAGCATTTGTTCATATGTGCAACTCTGTTAAGGAAGAAGGTCAATATATATTAAAAGTTATGGGATAGAATTATCTTTCTTGTGAAAAAACTTCATATGTATATTAACCTTAAACAAAATAAAATAGATTAAATATAAAAATAAAATAAAAATAAATTAGAATAAATTAGAATAAATATAAACACCTAATTGATCGAATTTTAAAACATCAGTGTTTTCAAAAAAAATTGTATGCTAAAATTTCTGTTTTTCATTTATGCAAAATTTCAGAGAACAGTTCTAGTAATATAATGCTAAATAGTATCTACATTGAAATACTTGAAAAGTTGATGAGACCTATGTCAATTACAATAACACTATGATAAATCAAATAAAACAAGAAATACAATCTTGATTAGGGCACTCAATGTACAAACAGAAACCACGTCACAATTGTCAACATCACTTGCATGCCTCACAGCAGGCACCCACATTACATTAACAGCCCCTGCCTCTTGAATTCATTCAAATTCAGCGACAGACAAAGAAATCATGTGAAAACTTCAGACAGACAAAAATAAAAACACACTATGGAATAACTTTCAATAAGTGAATGAGTAAACAAAAGTGGACATCAGAGTCACACACTAAATTCAAACTGAATCAGATGCTCAAGTTGTGGGTTCAGAATCAGTCGAAACCTAAACGTAGTGATCAGATTAGAGTGGTAAATTCTTTAGTGTTTATGTGATTCTGTTTGCGCAGATATCAGCTCGTATTCGCTGTGTTTCGAAGACAGTTCTTGTAAAGTGAATTCAAGTGCTACTGCACAGATCCAATCGGTAGTACAATGGTTGTGCAATGAGTATGTGAAACTCCAACAGGGGGGAGTAGTGCTAGATTCGGCGAAGAGCGCCGAGCCAGGAATCCTGGCACGAATCCCAACCGAGAGTGCGCATCCTTCCCGTGCATGGTCGAGACTTGCTGACAATTCTCGGCAGCCCAAGTGGAAAGGTGGAGCCCTCTCCACCAAGCATGCCTCCATGCGGCCCACGAGCCGCAGACGTGGCCTTCCCAGGTGAATCGAGCCCTGGCTTAAATTGCTTGCATAACTAGAATATCTCTCCCCCTTGCGTGCTTCCCAAGTGCATCGAGTGGGCTCATTTAAAACGTACGATGGATGAGGATTCTCGCCTCTGTGATGGGTGATCTTATGCTCATCGACATCGCCAGAAGTCGGGATGGTGATCCGTGGGTGAGGTCATGCAGTGGATAATTCGGGTACCACATGTCGTCGGAACCCGTTGGTACTGAGGAAAAATCGTCGCTATGGCTGGTTGACTGGCAGCGGGCTTAACTTGTTACAGTGGTTTGAAGGTAGTCCTTGTCCTTCCGTGTGACTACTACACTGCTACGACTGAATCAGAATTAAAAATGAGGAACTTGCATGAAATTTGTTGAGAATGTTTAGAAAGACACAAGAGTAATAGTAAGTAATATACACGAGTAGTAGTAAGTCATACATACAAGAGGGTTTCTAAGAAGAAAGAGCTTCACACATAAAAATCTATTGATTTGGTTGTGTCTCATATACAAGAGGAGAAAGGGGAGAGGATAAACGATACTTCTTCACTAGACTCTAAATATTGTAGCTATGGTATTTACTGTAGTCTACAGTAAATATTATGGAAAGTGCCAGCTACATTTAATGCTCTCAACACTCCTCCTCAATATCTCGACTTGTAGATGTAGCTAAATACAAAAGTGCTCCAACTGGTGCGAGGTATGGATATTGATCTCCGAATATTTCCTCCTCCTATTCACATGGATGGTATGGATTATGACCATCATGACCATGTCTAACTATTGGTGTGGACAATGGATAAGCATCAATCATATTAAATCTTTGCAAGATTTGTCTAATATACGTTAGTTGGTAGAGAAAAATGCTACCATCTGTTAGATGCATAATCTGAAGATCAATGCAGAAAGATGTTTTTCCTAGCATTTTCATCTCAAATTCAGGTTTAAGTAGGTTAGTAGCTGTAATACATACAGATGTAGTGCCTACTAAGTTAAGATCATCAACATATATAGCGATGATCACAAAACCAATTTTATCTCATTTGATAAACAAACAAGGGATTAGTGGATCACTTATAAACTTATTTGTAATTAAATAATTTCAAAGACATTGATACCACATATGTCCGAATTTTTTTAAACCATACAAGGCCTTACATAATTTAATACCACGATATCATCTTGAAGCGGGTCCATTTGGAGTTCTTGTTTCTAAGCCAGGTGGAACTTTCATATAAATATTTGCAGCAAGAGAACCATATAGATATGCACTTACTACATCCATCAGATGCATCTCAAGGGTGGTATGAATTGTCATTCCAATAATATATCAAAATGTAATTGAATCCATGACTGGAGAATATGTGGATTCATAATCAATGCCAAATCATTGAATAAATCCTTGAGCAACAAGACGAGCTTTATAGCAAATTATTTGACCTTGAGCATCTTACTTGCATATTAATACCATCTTATATCCCACAAGGCGAGATGTAAGAGTGTCTACAATTGGACCAAAGACTTTCCTCTTACTCAAAGAGGCATACTCCTCTTCAATAGCAGTTTTCCATTTTAACCAATTTCCTCTTTAATCAGAGCGACGCATCGCCTCCTTGATGGTTTGAGGTTTAGGATCGTCTTCCTTGCAAGAAAAGGCTTTTATAATCATATATGCAAATGATTCATCTACCGTAATAGATGGTCTATCCCAAATATCATCTATAGTACAATATAAAATAGATAATTCTTTACTCAACTTATTCTTATTCCTTCTAATTCCAAGATTATTTTTCATAGGAATTAAAGATACATTATGTATGGATATATCATCATGAATTGGTAGTCCTACAAGATGAGTGGCAATTTCTTGAGAAATAATACCAAGATTAGTCAATTTTATAGCTTTCTTCTTACGTGGTTACTTATCTGGTCCACGAGTTCTTTTAGTTGTTTTTGTTATAACTTGAGATATTGTAGTTAATAGCACTGCGATCTGAGCAGGTGCATTCTAAGCCTCATTAATAGGAACTCTTGTAATTCTAGGTGCACTATTGAAGCCATCAAGTATTTCATCTACAATCCGTTTTAGATGTAAAAACTTAGCAACTCTAATTTCTGTCAAAGATGTCCAAGGATCAAGATTCATTGTAAACGTTTTTGGTGCTTCAAATATGAGTACTTTATTTCTTTATTGATTGGATACTCCTCTTTGAAGAAATGAGAATACATTTTCTTCAAAACGGCAATTTTGCAAACGTACACGTAATAATGTGCGAGTTGATGGATCAATAATACGAATAATGCTTAGTGAACCAAAACCAACATATATGCCTTCTTGTCGATGAGTTCTAATGGTACACCGTTGAGGTTCTAGTATTGGAATCCAAATACGGCAACCAAATACTCATAAGTTAAATACATTTAGAATACAACCCGAAATGAGCTCATGTGGTGAAATAATTTCAAGAGAAGAAGGGCGGATGCATATTAATGCTATAGCATGTAAAACTGCATGATCCCACATAGATGCATATAAATTTACATGAAGGAAGAGTGGCTGGGTAATGACTTGTATACGCTTTATAAATGACTTTGTAAGTCCATTTTAAGCATGTTCATATCGAATATAATATGTCAACTCAATTCTTGTTGCAGTACAATAGTCTTCAAAAGACTTTGATGTGAATTCTTTTGCATTATCTATACGTAATGTTTTTATAGGATAATCAAGAAAATGTGCCCAAAAACAAATAAGCATAAATATAAGATTGGCAAACACCATGTTTCGAGTTGATAATAATGAAACATGTGATTGTTTATCTGATGCATCAACAAGGATCAAAAAATAATGAAATGGTCCTCATATTGGATTAATAGGACCACAAATATTACCATGTAATTTTTCAAGTATTGGTGGTAATTCTTGTGGGAGTTTTCAAATTGAAGGCCAAGTAATCATTTTACCTTACATGCATGCATGACATAATTCCATAGAATCTACATCCACAAGCTTTAAATTGTGTCCAGTTATACATGGAATGATCTTTCTAAATAATGTGGATCCTAGATGTCCCAATCGTCCATGCTAGAGAGAAACACAATTCTCTGTGATAGATGATGCAAAATTATATATAATGGGAGGTCGAATCACAATTCGGTATAAACCATTTTTTGTAGAAAAAGCTTTTTCAACAACTTTATGATTCTTCACAAGAACCAAAACCTCTTTTCTATTTAAAATGGCAATCGAGAGGTGATAACCATTAATATGCACATCTCAGTAGCTGATCAGACTCTGAGGTACTGAGGATGCAAACATCGCATGTTTATATTTTATAATGGAACCCACAAGTAATTTTACCATCGTTATGCCCTCTTGGAAACAAAATGCATTTGCTCCAACTATAGTCATCATATTTTTAGTTTGCTAAGTTGAAGATTATTTAATAAAAAATAGTCTATCTCGCAAGATAGTATGTTTTGTTGCAGAATCAATGAGTACATCATTTGATTCATCATTAGAGATTTTGTCATTCATATAAGCCTCTAAGTCATCAACACCAATTGAATCCATCAACACATCCATGGTATGAACTTCATGAGCCTCAACTAGTAGTTTCTTATTTTCTTGGAATATTTTAATAAAATATTTTGAAGTACAACATGCATGTGCTAAATGTCCAATCATTCCACACTTATGGCAAGAACACATCTCTCATTTTTTATTTTCTACTATAATTAATAGTAGAACGTTTATTCTATCCATATGGGTAGAAATGGTCATGACTATGACTACCCTGATATTTATAAGCACGTTTCCCATGTTTATATAATTTTTTTTTAGATTTTGAAATATTAAGTGTATGAGATTTTGGAATTGTAGTTCCAATAGGACCAGCTTCCGCATTGTGTAAGAGTAGCTCATTTTGCTTCTCCGCAAGAAGTAGATAGGACATGAGATTAGAATGACTCTGAAATTTCATATTCATATATTGTTGTGCAAGCACAGCAGATACATGACGAAATGTAGAGAGAATTTTTTCAATCATTTCTTCTTCATAGATGCTTTGTCCACATAATCGTAATTGTGAGATAATACTATACATTTCACTATTGAAAGCATTTAAATTTAAAAAATCCAAAACACATAAATGTATCCAATTATGACATGTGTATAGAAGAAAAATGGTCTTTTGATGATCAAACCTAGATTTAAGATTCTCCCAAAGTTCTACAGGATCTTCCATTTCCAAGTATTGATGTTGTAATGCAGGTACAAGATGACGACAAAGGAGAAGAAGTACTTTCCAATGAATAGCCGGAGGAATAGAAATACTTATTGTAGAAGATTCTTCAAATATAATGGCATCCGAGAGTTGTTCTGCAAATAAATTTGCTTTTGCCATTTTTGCCCATAATAGATAATTGTTTCCATTCACACTCAATGGTGGAAATAAAAGAGCTTGAAAATATTGGGATGCACTGGTAATAGTTATTACCATAGAAAAAGCAGTTGAAGATGTTGAAGCACTCATTATAAATAAATCTATAAAAAAAATACAAAATCAAGTAGAAAAGTTGAGTAAAACATATCTTAAAATATAAAGTCAAATAAAATGATAAACTTGAACTTGAAAAATAAATATATATATATATATATATATATAAGAGATTGTGGATTAAGGTAGCAAAATAGCAATAGGACAACAGCAGCAGGCAACAGTAGGGCGGTAGGGTGGCAGTGAGGGCAGGGTAGGCGGCAACGGCAGCATCAGTGGCAGCATGAAGGCAGCGACGGGTTTGGCGGCAGTTTGGCGGTAGTTTGGCAGCAGTTTGGTGGCAATTTGATAGTAGCTCGACGGCTGTTCGGCGACAAGCGCAGGGTGGAACAGGAAGCAAGCTGAGATAAAGTTGGATTTGATCAAGTATTCTAAGCAAGCAGGGCAAAGAGTGAAACAAGTACTCTAAGCAAGTAGCTAATGTGTGAAGGGCCAGCAAGAAGAGCAACAAGATCATGAGGTAGACATTGAGCAAGAGTAGCAACAAGTTTGAAGATTCAAGAGTAGAGCAAAAAAATTATGATAGCATGTAGAAGAAAGTCGTGCTGATAACGTATTGAGAATGTTTAGAAAGACACAAAAGTAATAGTAAGTAATACACACACACAAGAGTAGTAATAAGTCATGCACACAAGAGGGTTTCTAAGAAGAGAGAGCTTCACACATAAAAATCTATTGATCTAGTTGTGTCTCATATACAAGAAGAGAAAGGAGAGAGGATAAACAATACTTCTCCACTAGACTCTAAATACTATAGCTATGGTATTTACTGTAGTCTAAAGTAAATATTATGGAGAGCCCCCACTACATTTAATGCTCTCAACAGAAAGAAAGAAAGGTTGAATTGGTGGCCATGTTAAACTTGCTAATTTGTCCTGTAACTTGGGAGGAACTGGTCCTCAAGATTTACCATTTTCTGTTAAGAGGTATCGTTGAAAGTTAAATAACATCAATCAAACTGAACTAGATAATCAAATCATCTAATTTTCCCTGCCGTTGTCTATCGTGTCGTCCTGGCCTCCACGTAGAAGCTGTCCAGGTCGGCTCCGAAAACCCTGGACGGACATCTTAACATACTATTTTTTTCCAGAACCAAGGCCTTCAAAGCCAGAGATCCAACCACTGAAAACTTTTTTCATGCTACTCAAGGTCATTTATACATGTCAGCTGTTGAATCTCCAAAAACTGAAAGCTTCAATGTTGAAGACCCTTTCGGTGAAAGTGTACTGTATTCGAAATTTGGAAAAAGAGTGAAATATTATAGGTTCGTATATCTGCAGCTACGTGAAAGACCTACTAGAGGAGCCTTTATTATGCGCATGCTAATCGAAGATGGTTCACTTTCACAGCTTAAATTTTAAGAGAATTTGAAGCGTTCTGAGATCCTAAATGATTCAACTGAACCTTTCCATGTTTTATCTCTCGAGATAGAAAATCGACAACAGAAACAGAAATAGTGCAAACCTGCAGTAATGGAGGTATCTGCAGATAATTCAACGATCACGAACTTCTTTCTCCAGCATGGAATCCTGTATTCTTAGTGGAGATCCTAGTTGCTTCCCTTGAAAGCCAGTCACTGGAGACTGTTGAGAACATACTGCAAGTCATCACTTTAATAAATTCCACGAAAGAAAAGTTTCTAGGTAAGTGCTGAATCTCCTGTGAGTCGCTCAGGCTAGAACAGAAAAAACGAGGCAGCCCACACTGGGCACCACACAACACTGATACAGGTTCCTTAATTTAAAGACACTAGGGCGAGTGAGCTGTTCAACAACTCGACGTTTCTTACTCCCTACATTATTAACTGCAATAGGTCCAAACGCAACCGAAATGAGGAATTCAAGCACCAATATCACCCAATAGGCATTCAACATGAGAGTCTGAGATAGTTGAACTGTACGCTATTAAACTGCACGATGGAATATTATATATATTTGCAGTTGATTGTATTTTCTTCTACTGCAATAGAATCAGTGTATGAAGAAAAAGCTCTAAATCTTTTTCTTATCGGTTGCAAAATCAAAGCCGAATCACAACCTGCAATAGTTGAACAGATCATTAGAGCACAATTTTCAGCAGCAAATCACAAAGTCCAAATAACAGTAGGGTTGCCGAATGCATGCTACGGTTTCATCTTTACGTCGTTATGTCAACTGTGTAGAGACTTACATTTGTGATAATCTCGAACAGCACAAAAGAGTGAAGTGTTTTGAAAAGGGAAGGGAACCTTTCATGATTACGAGAGAAACAATCTGCTGAGTGTAGAGGAATCAGCGGCATTCGTCAACTTGGGGTAGATGACTCTGTTCTGACTGATTAGTTCCGCTTGCTAATCGTCTTCAAAGGTTTGAGCTTCTAGCGGCCTCTGGATAGAAAACAGGTCTCTAGAACAGAGCATCTATTCTTACATAAGTAAGTTTTTGATGTTAGCGTGCCTAAGAAACTGCACAAACAGCAAAGACCTGATAATGGTAGATTCCCAGGAAAGTTAAGACTATCCAAACTGGTGCATTGACAAGGTGCTACGCTAGTTTCCAATGTGCTAGTGCTGAAAAAAGATCGACCTGACTTACCAACGCTGACTTGTAATTGAAAGTACAATCTCGGTATTGCAAATGTAGTAGGACTCACCGTCAAGAGGCAAAAGAGCTCTTGGAAGCATAAAGTTTGGCACGACGCCTCTTCAGAGACGATGACACTCCAGCGGCAAACGCCAGCTCTTGTTTTGATTAGGGCACGCATCATCGGAGGCATTCATGCCAAACCTCGGCGTCCAAGAGCGAATGCTATGATAGATGGGACGATCCAGAAGGAGCCGAGCTATCCCCTGCCCAAGACCTCAGAATCACTTGAAGAACTGTCTCTACTAGCAACAACTACAGGTCCAAGTCAGCACAGTTGGCAATCTACACAGATTTACTGTGCATCCAACTTAGGTTTGGTGTGAAGACCGCATAATCAACATTGCATTTTCAATGTCCTGTAGAGCATTCCTCAAATATCTTCTAGTTTCGATGCATGGACACAAATGGAAAAATGAGAGACAATAGTCCTAAACTAAAATTCTACTGTTCAAACGAAAATCTCTGAAATCCTTGAATCATCTCAACAACGAAACGCGTTTCAGTCATATCAGACATCGCTGACTCAACGCTCTAGCACATTGCAGGAAAGTTGTCTTGTCTTCTTGTGATGCTGGTCGATATGCGTTGGGTGAACATGACGTTGGATTTTGCAACTCTAGTGGTACGCGGTACGGAGAAAATAGACGTCGAATTTGCATGCCAATGTTGGAGCCAGCCTAATAACTATACGATCTAAAAGTTTGTGAAACGTGCTGAAGTTAAGTTGATTGGTACCCTTGCCTATTCATCCCATTTAATGCGTAAATTTTAGTATAATTTTCAATGCGATATGTACTATTTTTAGAAAATACAAAATAAGAATGCATAGTACGATCAGTAAGTAGGTATATATTTCTTCTGGATTTAGGCTTCACCCATACAGTAAGCCATTTTCCTTTGCAGTTAGCGTAGACCATACTAAATTATTAAGGCTCTTGTGTAGGCAGTAAGAAAGCGTTGTGAAGCTCTGTTGTGTATCCCCTTTCCTTCGGCTATTCTAGTCTTCTTTCGATGCCACCTTGTCTGTGGAGCTTTCGGTCCTCTTCCTCCTCTCCCTTCCAGTCCTCGGTTTCCTATAGAATCCGTCGCGAAGCTGCTGTGCTTTGATCATCGCTGCCAAACCCAGCAGGATAGGTAGCTTGGGCTTCAACCGACTAACAACCGTCGCGAGGTGGGTCGTTCTTTTGCTGCACTACATCACTGCGTTGTTTCTTGCAGGTTTTCGTTTCATCTGTTCATGTGCTGCTCCAGAAGTTGACATGGTTTCAGGATTGGGCCTTTAGGTTGTGTGACTGAGATCTCTTGCTCTACATTGGAGCGGCACCAATGTAATGGGATTGTTTCGTGAGGGTTTGACTCTTAAATGGTTTGGCAGAATGAAGAAGGGCTTTAGTTGTCGGTGCATAAACTGGTGTCCGTCATATTGTGTAGTTGACAGTCAGTGTCGTATTATCCATGAGGTCAAAAGAGTCATGACAGTTGCAGTATCAGAGACAAATAGGGAGGCTATAGGTTTTTGAAGATTTCGTGGGTGTGAATTTAATGTCGAGGCGGAGCAGCAGGGACCTGCTAGCGTACCCCATATTCATTCTGGAAATTTATTACAGCCGAGCAAGCTTCTCTTCATCTCTATCTCATTTTTGCACTTGATTTTAATACAGGGTGGGATATAGTGGATGTTTAGCAGATGTGGTTTTCTTCATACCCATGTGAACTTCATTCTTCTGCTAAATTCTTTGGGACATCACCATGACTCTGTCCATTGCACTATCTGGGCCTGCATCCCGCTACTGCTATGGATTACCCACTTGTTGGTCTTTCTGCAGAATGATCAGCGGTGCAACGCTAAGCACATCTTAGATTTATGGTTCAAGTGGATATTAAAGCTACCAGTGCTAGAATCGAACACTTTATCTAATTAGCGACGATCATTGGTGCTTTATGTCATGTTTTACTCAGATGTAGAGTCGCTGCATACTTTGTTGCACTCATGTGCAAATGCTTGGAATTAAAGCAGCGTCTCTTAGGATGAAGCATTCTGCTGCTTGTTTGTTTCCAGGATGATTATTAAGGCCCGAATGCTCGTCTTCAACATTGTTTCCAGCATTGATGCATTCCAGACAAGGTAATCCTGCTATTAGAGCTCAGCTGAGCGGATTCCTCTGGGGTAGTGTTGCATAGGAAATAGCTTAGAAGCATTAGTGGTTTACTCCGTTCATTTGTGGTTGTCCCAGTAAGTTAAGCTTGTGTTGCGAGTACCGACAGTGTACCAAAAGGTAGTAAACCCCGCATTTTGTCAGTCTATTGTTGTCAGTTTCGCAGTGTGCTTTTCTTCATCGCTAGTTTTAACTCTTTGATTCACCTCATGCAGAGGGTTGACATTTTCTACACGTAGCGATTCCGAATGGATGTTCCTGTAATTATACAATTGGAGATGGAAGAACAATTCTTCCGGCGTACTCCTCCGGAACGCCGCAACGGTAGAGACTCCAAATGGTTTCTACCTCATGATTTCCTTGTGCTACAGAGTTTGAGAGCGCCTCTTGTATCTTCAGACAAGACGATGAGGTATGATCCATTTCCAATTTCAGGATATCATGCTCACCATGGTATTAGACCGTTTTTTTGGGACAGTGACCATCTGTATGGTCGCTGATTGGTAAGCATCATGTGGCAGGTAGCAGACAGCAGGTAATCCATGATGACCGTATTTCTCTACTATCGTATTACGACTGCCAAGTCCAATGTAAAGGATTTTTACGCTCTATGAACATTCATTTATTTTTATTGACAGCTGCTTCAATTTTTAAGCCTAGCGACCAGTAGCAAAAATAAAATACAAGTTCGAGTTGATGTAGTCGAACCTTGTCGGGTTGTATTCCACAGGGACTACGCCCGTTAGAACTCCTGCAGGAACATTGTTCGCATGAAATGATGTGGATATCAACAATAATGCTGCAGAATATTTTATATTTCTTTGTCACTGCCAAAACAATTGCATTATTCATTACAGGCAATCTTCAGTGTAAAGAACATGTGTTTGAACTTGCAGTGAGAAAACATCGGAATTGACATCTTTGGAACCTGGTGTTGGATGAATGCATCCAAACATATTCTACATTACATTCCTTTGTAGTACCAAAAGAATTTCAGTCTATAAGTTAGCTAATTGTGTTCGAAAGTAAGTTCTAGAGAGATACAGTTGCAAAGTGTTATCGAACGAGAGATAGAATACTTTCAGTATTAGATTCTTGTGACACTGAATAATTGTATAGAGTTGAATAAAGAGATATTTGTGTTATATACAAGTGTACATTTGCAGAGTGAGTGTAGAACTTTAATAGGTTATGGGCCCACACCCGCGTGTACGCTGCGCTGAAAACATATATATAGTTTTTCGCTTCTCTGAATCTCATGAAACGTTTTCTGCAGTAGGGGTTCGATAAAACGTTTTCTCGTCTATCTTGTTCTTGATCTTTGAATCTTGATTATTTTTCTTTACACAAGATTATCGTGATATTTACTATTATTCATGGAGTACTATATTATTTCAAGACTAGATTCTATTATTCTTATTACAGTACTCGACATGAACAGCGTTATATCACACTAGGTTCTACATTCTAACTTCATACTTCTAATTGCTTTCTTGGTTATTTTCTTGATTCTGTTTTCCTATCTTTGCTCTGTTTTTTCTATTTCTGTTTTCACTAATCTATTTCTGTTTTCTATTCAATTTTTATATCTCAACGGATCATGGACAAACATGATAAAATTCCGATTAAGATGTTCAATGGAATAAATTTCTCTGTTGTCGATGGACTCGAAAAGCAACCTGTTATTGACTCTTCATGCTTCTCTCGACTATCAAGTTCTGATTGATGCATGGGATGAGAAAAACGAGAACTCTAGAATGTTCATAAGCAAGTTGTTTGGATGTCCCACTACGGCAACAATGTGGACGAAGCTGTATTCACTCTACTTGAAGAAAATGTCGGACAATGAATTTGCTCTTTAGGGACAGTTTTTCGAGTACAAACGGATGATATTTCATCACATATCCAAAATATTACAAAACTGACTACCATTCTTGCGGATTTAGGTCACATTGTTCCACAAAAAATGATTCTATCCGCTTCATAGATTGTCAACAGCTTGGAAGAACGCCTTCTTAGACACGAAAGTCTAATCCAAAGGCAAGGAGGCACTAACACCAAAAATGATCATGCAAGAAAGAACAATAGCTTAAAGATATCAATTATCTTAGTGACCTCAAAGTAAGAACAGAATGCTACAATTGCCATGACCTACGACATTGATCAGTAGATTGTCCCAAACTACATCAAAAAGAAGGAAAGGACCTTTGAAAACTGGATGGTGGTTTCAACAAAGCTAACTTAGTAGAAAGTTTATGGTTAACAAGCACATGTAAAGAAGAATCAGCTCTAGGAATTGACAATGATTTTGCATTTGTTGTAGTATTAACAATTTTCAGCCAAGCTTTAGTAGCTAATTCTTCTAAAGATACATGATTTGTGGACAATAGAGCTAGCAAATATATGATTGATAGATATGAATGGTTCATAAAATCTATCACATATCTGAGGATGTTCATATTATTCAAATTGTAGATGATACTAAACTATGGGTTTAAGGACAAAGAGATATTATTATCAATTATCTCATCAATGGAAAATATCAAAAGAACATAATCCAAGATATGTTGTATGTACTACGATTAAAACACAATCTATTCTTTGTTGGATTAGTCTTCGAAAGAAATTTTTCTTTCATAATTTTTTCTAGGTAATATAAATTTAGTATATCTGTTGAAAAGAAAGTACTTAAAGGAACAAGAAAATATAAACTATATTAACTTTCTATTAATATTATTCCATTGAAAACTCTTCTTTCTATCAAATATTTTATTGTCTCTTTGTCATATCCACAACTAAGCTCTTATTATATTTCAATCTTGGACATTGATCAAAAGCAAGAAATAAAATCAATGCCATCAAAATACTTGCCCAAAAAATGACAATTTTTCATCAAAGAAAACCAAAAATCTTTTAAAGAATCAGATTTTGCATTCATTTTGAAATCCACATCCTCTAATTTAGTATTAACAAGTCAAACTTCTTCAAAATAAAATGATTTGGAACTATGGCATGAACATATCTATTATGTGGTATGCCATCCAGTGCCAAATCTCGTCAGATGTATGTAGTTTAGTTTAGTTAGTGGTTTTTCATCTATTGGTAATTTTTTTGTTATTTGACTTATTCATGTCAATTGGGATTTGAGTATTTAAGTGGAAAAAAATCCTTGATTTAATATTCTTGTTAAGTCAAGTCTTGTGAATAATTTTGAAATTAACAGAACTTATTGTAAGGATTTGCTTGGCTATGGTATTTTAGCCATTTAGTAAAGTTTTAGGATTTTTCTTATTTTCACACTTGTACTCTTAAATTCTCCCTTTGTGGTATGAGAGATAGCTTAACTTAGTTTGGTGTAGATTTCTTATCTTTCTTTGACACTGTATTAGATGTATATTTGTATTTTGTTTTAAATTACATACTTTATGATTAATTGGTGGTTTTGGATGTGTTGTATGTAATAAAATTTGTTTACATGACATATAAGACATGTTAATAAAATCATGATTAAAAGGATGAGCAAACAAAAACGTTCATTGAATTTTAAGTTAATTAGCAATACAACTTTATTATATCTTTGTAAGGGGTGTATATTAGGCAAACCAAAAAAAAACCACATATTCTCATGATCTGTTGTCATGGATATATATATATATATATATATATATATATATATATATATATTGTAATTGTTACTTAAATAGTATGAATTGGTAGAAATAGGTAAAGATAAATTAATTTCAAATAGCTTCTAAAAAAAGCTTCTTAGATACTATTTTGACTTTACATATATTTGTACTTGATTAGTAGGTTAGAAACTTCATCAACAAGCTAATCACATGCCACATATATTCGAAGCTTGTGAAAGAAGCTAACTATGTGGTATCTATATAGAAAACTTGCCTTACAAGATAAGGTACATGTCATGCAAAGTCAACATATTTTTGGAGGTCCTATAGAATGTCGCCACATAGATTCTAAATAGGTAGTATATATATAGAGGTAAGAATAAAATCTCCTTCACTCTTGTCAATTCTTTTCTTATTTTTAGTGTAATTTCAAGAGTCTTTAATTTCCTTGTCTTTTGGAAATAGCTATTTTAGTTTCTTTTTTAATATATATATACTTCTCTATTTCTATCTTGTTATATTTCTTTGAGAGAGTCTTATTTATTTATTTACTTTCATCAAGTTCTTATCTTTAATAGATTGATAAGAGTACACTTACAATATCAAAGCTTTGTCTTTTCTTGATTAAAAGTAGATTATTTCTTTTTGTTGATAAGACTTAAGTATAATAAGAGATGTGGATTATCCTCTTTTAAACTGATATTGTCCTTAATATTTTTATTTGTTTTCAAGTCTTCTCTTTTATTTGTCTTGAGCAATATTAAACATCTTTCTTTCTTTAAGTATTATCATGGTAGAGCTTCTTGAAATGAAGAGTGTAATGGCATAAATGCAAGAGTCATCGAGGAAATTAATGCTTGCAATGTATCAACTCAATTTTCCACCATAGGGAGCAAGAAGAATGGTAAGGAGCAAAGATATAGAGATGATTGGAGCTGCTTCAATATTTACACCAAATCATATTCTTTCTTTTATGGCGGAATATCCTTCAAGTATTAGAAAACTAAGGATTGCACTACTTGAGATGTTTCATGGCATAAGATCGAAGCTTTAAAGATTTATTAATTAAGCACAATTTTTGATTGAACTTCAATCCCAAAGCTATCCAATTTCAGGATTACAAGTTAGATTCATTGATATACTCCTTTCAAGTTTAGCATTATCATGATTTTTATCTTTTCTTGAATGATGAGATCTAATATTGGATAATTTGAAGATATTTTTGGCAAAGTTTTGATCCATATATAGAAAACATGATGCAATTTGTATTGCAACTAATAAGATCCATATTTTGTGGCAATGTAATCGATAAGTAATATTATATGCTTCGTAATTTTGACAACTTACAATTGATATCAAATAAAATGATGCTATATTTGTTAGCCAATTTTTATATAGATTAAAATATGAGATAAAAAAATTGATTCTCAACTTATATGATCTTTATACATTTAGTCAAGCAATTGACTTTTCTGTGAGATGTGAAAATCGACTTTTTAAATTTCAATCTAAGAGTTGCATAAGTGCATCTTAACGTTATTATAATTCAATGATAACCGCAATCTCTTTCTAACATTCACATTCGGAAGTAGAAGATATATAAATTGATGCAATATGTTTGAAACTTCTTATTGAGCAAATAAAGATTTGTCATCGTGAAGAAGGATTGTGCTTATATTAGAGAAAACCTAAGCACACTAGTCAACATTATTTGAAGAAACAATACAACTACAAAAAAAAAAAAAATATGGCTGTCAAAGAAGATAGTATGTTAAGAAACGAGTTTTTCTAGCTATAATTGAAACTATGCAATTGGAACCTTCAATAACTGTTTGGATCAATTTATAGATTCAGTACAAAATAAGTTGCTTGAACTAAAAGAATATATTGAAGAAAATTTAGCTAAGAACTTCATATGCCATTCCAAATCTCTAGGAGGAGCTTCAATTTTATTTTTGAAAAAAATGATGGAGCATTATAAATGTGTATTGATTATTAAAGATTCAATAAAATCTCCATCAAGAATAGGTACCCACTACCTTTAATATTTGGATTTTTTGATCAGTTGAATTAAATTAAGATCTATATAAAAATAGATCTATAAGGGGCATATAATTTAGTATACATCAAAAAAAGAGATGAATATAAGATTATATTTTGAACAAGATATGAACATTTTGAATACAACATCATGCCTTTTGGACTTATAAATGCACCAATAGTTTTTCAACA